AACCTGCCTCGATAGCTCAGCTGGGAGAGCGTGTGACTGAAGATCATAAGGTCCCGTGTTCGATCCACGGTCGAGGCAAAGTTTTGGTGAAACCCCCGTTCTTTTGCGTGTAGCCTTTTTTCAGCTGTTTCGCTGGTTTGCTCGAGTTGCTGCGCTGCCATTGCACTTTTCCGGGATGGTTCTCTTGTTCGCATTGATCCTTTTGAATGGCTGTGGCGCCGATTCGAGCGTTCGACTCTGATCTCTGTGTGCCGGCTGGCATGCTCACGAGCTTAGCTATCGAGGCCATTTTTGGCTGCAACCTGAGGTGTCATGTGGGTCGCGTTCTACTTGGAGAGCTGCGCTCATGTTTTGTTGTTGCTGTTTACGTGAGAAGGAGGCCATGGAAGCATCGTCAAGGAGCCCCGCGGATGGGTTCCTTCGCGGATGTGTGTGATCGCTGGGTTTGATCGATTGGGCATGGGAGGCAGATGCCTCCTCCGAGAAGCAACGGCGGAAGCGGAGGCTGTCGGATGGGACCGCGTGTGCCGACGACGCGTCTGTCTCGACAAAGGGGCATCGAACGGGGCCTGCCTGGAGGCCCCCCGGGGCGATGCTGTCCTCGGGCGTCGCACGGGACTTGTCAACCGTTGCTCGCGTTCCCATCTTGATGACCCGTGCCTCTGCGTGGCACTCACGTCGTGATACGCCCGTCCTATGCCTCGGCATAGGAGACAACGAGCGTCCGAGAGTACCCTGGTGGTTTCCGGGGGTACTCGCCACGGGCCAGGCGAACGCTGCACGTGGCGCCATCGCGTGCTCTGCCCTTCGGGGTCCGGTCGGCGGTGGCGAGGGGCTCGCGGGTGCGTTGGTGCGTGGATGCCTCTCGCGCCGCCTGGAAGGAGGGCCTTCCCCGCGGGCCTTCGCCGATCCGCCCAAGCCACGCGGCTGCCGTAGTCGGTGGGTGACCGGCCGCCACCCTCCAAACTCCGCCCAAATTTAGCCGGGAGCCCAGCGCCGGGAGCCCAGCGCCGGGAGCCCAGCGCCGGGGTCCATCCGCCGCCGCCGATCGGCGTGCGGCACGGTCGAGAGGGGGAGCCCGAAACCGTTCCATGCGGCAGGTTTCCGCGCCATGGCCGGCGCGGTGCGGAGTCGGCGGCGCGATGCGGCACGGCACCGGCGCGCACGGCGGCGGTGCCCGTCCACGAAATGACGTTCCACGGCGTCGACGGCGGTGACTGTTTTTATATTTGATATTTGATATTTTATTTTAGCTCAGTGAGCGCCGTGGGCATCGCCATGCCGTACCGCTCCCTTCCTTGCTTCCGTTGCTTCGATTCGGACGTTCTCGCTCGATCGTTGCGGCGGTCGCGGGCGGTCGCGGCGGCGCGGCGTGGCCGACGGCGTCTGCGGCGGGCGCTGGGACCGGCATCCGGCGGCGTGGCAGGAACGATGCGGCCGGCGTGAGCCGGGACGTGCCATTCGGACTCGTGGCGAGGGGACATCTCGACATGCGCTCGGCTGCTGCGTGCCCTATATGGGTCGAGGACTCGCGCGCGGGTCGGCGCCGCGCCTCGCGGCGATATGGGCGCTTCCCCTGGTCCTCGCCGCCATTGCCAGACGTGCCCCTCGTCCCCTTGTCCGCGTCCATCCTCTGCAGGCATCGAGGGCCATCGGCGACAAGACCATCCCCCAACCAAGACCATCCCCGTCCCCCCCGACGACGTGAGTCTCGGCCCTTCCCCCCGCACGTCTTTCCACTTCCGTCGTGCATACCCGAACGATCCCGAATCCCGGCCGCTCGTTCAGCATCTCTCCCCAAGACCCGCCTGCTGCCGCCGATCCCACCGCCTGTTTGTCGCCGCTGGCGAGTCGCTGCAGGCGCGAGCGCCGCCGCCTGGTTCTCTGTTCCCATTCCCGTCTCCGGCTCGACGCGGTCCGCCTCATGCGACGGCTGCCCGATCGATCGATTCGGTCGAAATCATATGCCATCGTCGATCCTTCGCCCTACGACCGGCCGACCGCGGACGCCCCCGTGAGCGCTGGCGCCATTGACGATGCGCCGCCGCCGCCGCGCCGCGGCGGCCGCCCTGCCGCCGCCGCCGCCGCCGCCGACCGGCCGCTGCGGCTCCGCACGGCGTCACTGGCGCCGCCGTCCCCGTTAGCCGCTCCAGCGCCCGGCGCGTCGCTGGCGTCGTCGTCACCACCGCCCGGGCTCCCGTACATGACGCCTGCGCGTGGCCCCCTGACGCCGACGATGCCGGCGCCCGCGTCGACCGCGACGGCCGCCGCCGAGCCCTGGGCGGCCGACCCATGGTCCGCCGCGGGCGGCAGCGAGGCCCCGCCCCGCGGGCAGCGCCGGCCCGTCGGGCGCGACCGCCAGCGATCCCTGTCGCAGGGCCTGCTCCCCGCCTGGCTGCGGCCCAGCCCGCCGCCCGCGCCGAAGACGGCGCCGCTGTCGACGCTGCCGACGCCGACGCCGGCGCCGTCGGCATCGACGCGCTCCTTCATGACCCTCCTCCGCGTCGGCAAGCGCCTCATGCACGTCGCCACCGCCACCGCCACGACGGCGCCGCCCCCCGCGGCGGCCGCCACGCTGCCGCGACGAGCGCCGGTCGCGAGCGTCGCCGCGAGCGCCGCGTGGCCCGACCGCAGGGCATCGCGCGTCGCCGCGGCCGCCGCCATCGCCGTCCCGGGCCCGCCGATCCCGCCGCAGTCCCGCAAACCGCGGCGCTCCACGCTTCGCGCGACCGACGCGCCGGCGGCGGCGGCGGCCGCCCAGATGCCGCGGTCCGCGGGCACCGCGCCCCCGCCGCGCCGCCCGGACCGCGTGCGGCGCTCGTGGACCGTGGACGGCCGGTCATCGGCGCCGGCGCCGGCGCCCGCGCTCGACCGCGCGCCGAGCGCGGCCCCCTTCGCGATCGAGATCTGCCTGCGCCCGGCCCCGAGCGAGGCAGGGGGCGTCGCGCGGCGGCACAGCAGCAGCGACAGCGGGCGCCGGCGGGCCGTCTGCGACGAGCGCCGCTATGTGTATGACGCGAGCCTCCTCGGGACGCCGCCCGCCGCGCCGCCGCCGCCACCGACGCTGCCGCCCGCCGCCGACCCCGTCCCCGTGCCGCCGGGGCCGCGCAGCGCGCCGCTGGCGGCGTCCGCGCGATCCATGGAGACCTCACCGGCGCTGTCCGCGCGGTCGGCGTCGTCCACGGCGTCGTGGTCGTCGTCGCTCTCGTCGTCGCTGTCCGCGGTCTCTGCGGCGTCGTCGGATGAAGTGCCCGCGACACGCGCCGCCGCCGCCGCGCCGCCGCCGCTGCTGCTGCGCCCCTGGCGGGCGTCGCGCGGCCGCGCCGCCCAGGACCCGAGGGCGCCCGCCGGCTCGCTGGCCGACAAGGACGCCGCGGGCGCCGCGACGCCGTCCGCTCTCCTCATCAAGCCGCTGCCCTCGCTACCGCCGCCGCCCACCTCGGCGCCGGCGACGGTAGCTGCCGCCACCCTGCCGACGCAGCGGCCGTTGCACATTCCGGAGCGCGGGTCGTCGCGCGTCCGCCTGCGGCAGAGCGAGGCCGTGATGCGCGCCGTGGCGCGCGCGGCCGCGCTGGCCCGCGAGCTGGCGGATGACCGCGCGGCGGCGGCGGCGGCGGCCGCGCAGCAGCGGGACCTGCCCGCTTCGGGCAGCGACCGCCCTTCCGCGGCGGCGGCGGCGGCGACGACGACGACGGATGCGGCGCTGGGTACGCCAGAGACCGCCTCCGCGTCAGCATCCACCACCGCGTCAGGGTCCGCCACCGCACCACCGGCGCCGAGCCTGTCGCCGAGCCCGTCGTCGGCGCTGTCGCGCGTGCGCAGCGGCGCCACGCATCAGTCACGGCAGACGATGCCCGCGAAGGCGTCGCTCCGGCTGCCGGGCGGGCAGGCGGCCCGGACGAGCAAGACGGTGATGATTCTGAGCGAGCGGCGGTCGTCATTTGTGCCGCGCAGCGCGCATGTGACGGACCCGCGGTCGCCGTTCCGCACGCTGCAGCGCATCGCGCCGCATCTGCCGCCGCCGGACATGGGGAACCGCCCGTGGTATGGCCCCGTCGGCGTGGACACCCCCTAAGGGGCGACGTCCTCTCGCCGGCCATCGCCGCGTGTCGCCGGCTACCGGTTCCTCGCATCATATGGGCCCAGGATCACCACGCCCAGCAGTAATGAATTAATTGGAAAGTGATCTGTTTCTGATCATCGAATGGCAAGCGTTTGGGTCCGATGCATCCGCACCCCGGACGCGCGGCGATGACGGAACGTGCGGGGGGGAGTGGCGAACGCTGGCCTAGCGGCCGTCCGTATCGTCGATCTCGTCTTCCTCGTCGTCCAGAATAATCATCGGGTCGTCCGGGGTGCCCACGCCCTGGGCCGAGGGGGGCCCGAGCAGCGCGCGGCCGGCGTCCTCCGGCGCGGATGCCTCGCGGGGCATGGGCCTCTCTGGCGCCGGCGACCCTCTCGCATGCGCGGAGGGCGGAGCCGGTACCGGCGCGTGGGCGGCTTGCGCGGCGGCGGCGCGGGCGGCGCTGAGCCGGACGATCGCGGCGTCGACGCGGCGGCGCGTCGTCTCGAGGGTGGCGATGCAGCATGCGGCGACGTGGGCGAGCGAGGCCGCGTCGTTGTGGTCGCGCGGGGTCGTGCCGACCTCGACCCAGAGGCGGTTCGCGTCGGGGCGGTACTCCTCGCTGAGCGCGTGCTGGGGGATCTCGGGGCTCAGCGCGTGGGCGACGTCGAGGATCGCGGCGGTGAGGAAGGTCCATGTGCGGGCGCAGATCGTGCGGCTGTAGCCGCCGCCGCCGAGCACGAGCGCGGGCCGGTTCTGGTTGACGAGGTGCATCACGCACTTCGTGTAGGAGATCATGTCGAGGTTCCACTTGCCGCCGAGCGGGTCGCCGGCCATGCCGTCGGCGCCGCACTGGATCACGATCGCGCCGGGGCGGAATGCCGCGAGCACCTCGTCCATGACGGTGGTGTAGAAGGGCACAAGGGCCTCGCCGCGGAGCCCCGAGCGCAGCGGCACGTTGAGGGCGAACCCGGCGCCGCGGCCGACGCCGTGCTCGGCGGTGTGGCCCGTCTTG